CAGTAAACATTATTCAGACCTGATCCAGTGACAGCAGATTTTCAAAGTCTGATAGTTTGGGGTTTGTGCAACTTTTGCTAAGCACCCCACCCCATGGGCAACATTCCTTTGTGGGTGCACTTTGGGGGGGCACATGCCAATGGTTGGTGTGGCAGAAAAATGGGGTGTGGACAGACAGATGCCACTGTCCATCTTCCATCCCTAGATAAGCAGGAGATATTATCACAGCTCAAGGATACGTTCCAACTCAGTGAAAATCACTTGAGCAGGCCAGTGGAGGATGTGGTCTGGGGGTGGGGCCTGGGAAGAGTCCTGGGGGCCATAAAAAGATGCCGGGGGGAGCAGGTAGAGATCTTTGTTATATAGCCCACCAACATAAATTGATGTGCCCAGACAATCTCCTTTTGTACAATAAATCAGACGTTTTAATTATGCCCCCCCCCCACTTTCCCTTCTTACCACCTGATGATGTACAGGCCTTTCTGAAAAGAGTTTGCATTTTGTTTTAAAGTTTGCATAAAAGGAATCTAAAGTTGAGAAAGAGAGGTTGGCACTGTGCAGGATTAACTTTTCAGGTAACAGAAGAATTACCTTTGGCGACATTTCTCTTGATGACACGCAAGAATGGAGGGAGGACATAAAAGGGGCCACCTAAGATGTGGAAATCTTCCCCTTCAACTTGAAACACGGCCCTTTAAAAGGCACTTACAACCTCATCTGTACATCCCAATGTTTCTTTTCTTTACCCAGAATGTCTTTTCATGAAATTTGTCTTGGTGTTTGATCTGTTACCTTTTCTTGGTTATCTTTGTCTAATCTTTTGCAATGTAATTTTTTCTCCCTTGCAGAAATTAATTCTTTCGCCCTCCTCTCATCTCTGATTATTTTATGTTGTGAGCTCTCTTAAAAGTTTTCAACTCCATTGCTCTTTTCAGGGTACATTTTCCTCTGCTCAAGATGCATTCAAAGCGGAAGTGGGTAACCTGCAGCCTGGGTGACACATATGCAGTCCCCAACCTCATTTTTTCATGCCTCCAGAAGCTGCCCCTATTCATCAACCCTATCAGATTTTGAGGATTTTCAGAATGGTGGAGATGGGCAGGAGTGGGAAATGCGGCATTCTTCTATGACTCAGATTTTGCTCCGAGCTGGAGAAGGATTTGGGGGCTTCAAAAATTAACCTCTCATTTGAAATGAGCTGCATTTTCTTTTAAGCCCCCAAATTTCATTCCCAGGCTTGGCTTGGGAACATTCATGGAATGCGAATGGTTTTCTTCAACATTTCTCCTGTCTTATGATGATGGTGGGTGCATGCATGATGCCTGTACAAGCCGTGGTGGAGAGCTGCTTGAGAATTCAGTTGCCAGCCCCTTCTAAAACATAAGCTTGGAGCCACTGAAGTCCTACTCAGAGTAGGCCCATTGAAATTATTGTGCCTAAATTGGCCATGTCAATAAACCCCGGTGGATCTACTATGAGTAGGACTAGCACTGGCTATCACCCATATTTGGGAACAAGGGAGAGGGTTATTGATCCGCGTGGAGGGGCAGAAAACTCCTAAAACATGTGCCAGAAATAATCAGGATCATTGGCTCAAATAGAAAAGATATTCAGTGAATTAAATGGTGTTTGGTAGGGTGGCCTCTGATGCTTCCTGAAGCTGCCCCATTCAGCCCCATTCACTTGGCTGAATTGTGTGGGACAGATTCTCTAAATTAATAATAAACATTCTTCCATCCCATCAGAGTTTCATCCTTCCTACTTATTTCATCTGAATTCACACCCTCACCCCAGTTTTTAAAAGGATTTCTCTCCCTGTTGCTATGTAGTTTCAGAACAATTAGAAGGGGAAATGTTTTATTTTGTAAGAAAAAAACCCACCCCTGCCATTTCCATAGCCCCGAGGAAAAGAAACGTTTTCTCCTGCTGTCTGGTAGGCTTCTGCAAAGTGCATGTGAAGCACACTAAAGTCAGAAAGGAGTCGCTTTCATTTGCTTTCTGGAACAGTTTTGGGTGTCTGTATCCAACCTTTTCCATTTGCTAGCTCAAGGGCTCCTAGCAGATGGGTGTGTTTTATAATAATAATAATAATAATAATAATAATAATAATAATAATAATTTATTATTTGTACCCCGCCCATCTGGCTGGGTTTCCCCAGCCACGCTGGGCGGCTTCCATAGAAACCAAAATACACTAAAATATCACACATTAAAAACTTCCCTGAACAGGGCTGCCTTAAGATGTCTTCTGAATGTCAGGTAGTTATTTATCGCTTTGACATCTGATGGGAGGGTGTTCCACAGGGCGGGCGCCACTACCAAGAAGGCCCTCTGCCTGGTTCCCTGTAGCTTTGCTTCTCGCAATGAGGGAACCGCCAGAAGGCCCTCGGCGCTGGACCTCAGCGTCCGGGCAGAACAATGGGGGTGGAGACGCTCCTTCAGGTATTAACTTTGCAGAGCAGAGAAACTCAACACAACTGCACTAGTAGAAACTTGGGGCGAAACGGTTTGCAACATCTATTTATGACAAAGCTATTGGCAACCTGTTTATGTATTCTATTGTCCGACAATGTCCCACTGGGGCAAAACAGTTTGGTGGCGGAACAAGTATGCGGTTAAGTGACTTTAACGTAGTACTACAAACTCAAAGTTTGTTACATGAAAAATAAATTTAAAAATCCTCTGTATACTAAATGAGAGTAGTCCTATCAACCCAGTGGAGCTTACTTCTGACTCGATTTGCACAGGACTTGGAATTCTACCCTTTGTCTACTTTTGTCTCTAGCTCTGCCCACCACTAGAATGCAGCCCTCCAAAGGTTGCCCAGAGTGGAATGCAGCCCTCAGTTTGAAAAATGTGACAGAAGTGTACATGCATCTGATTAGACCAGACCCCAAATGTTTGCTTCTCCCCCGCAACCATTCTGCACCCTGGACTTGAGGAGCTGCATTTCCCTTCTTTGAAGAACTGCTGTCCTCAAAGCACTCAAATCCAACCCTGGAATTTATCTGCAAATTGATGTATCTTCAGAAAAGTCACTGTCGGTATTATTTATAATTATGTTCTAAGTGGTATATGGAAACCGCCTCTTACGCAGACAACAAGTTAAATTGGTAAATGTCACGAAAACGCCGCAGAAACTTAATCAGAGGTTTATTAACTTCAGCCGTGACTGCTGAAAACCAGGGATAGGTGGTGGTGGCAAAGGACAGGGCAGAGTGCAGGGCGGCTGACAGCCAGTGGAGCAGGCATCCCCAAACTCGGCCCTCCAGATGTTTTGTGACTACAACTCCCATCATCCCTAGCTAATAGGACCAGTAGTCAGGGATGGTGGGAGTTGTAGTCCCAAAACATCTGGAGATGGGGATGCCTGCAGTGGAGCTAGGGGTGGGTGCAGCCAAAGGTCACAATAGGTAGGGTATACTTGTGTCATGACCCCTGAACTTATCAGTGAACTGGATATGGAATCAGACTTCAGGGACACCGTTTGGTGAGATGGGCCAGATCTGACTGCAGAAGATAGGGAGACCTGTGGCGCTTGGACAGGAGCTCCCAGAGGAATCTGCCAGATCAACAGGGCCTAGGGGGCCACAGCCCAGATCCTCATGGACACTGTCAGGGGTTCAGGGACAGAGGCACAGGGTAGGCAGGAGATGGAGAGCGATGGGGATGAATCCCAGGACAGCGAGGAAGAGGATGACAATGACTCAAGAGATTCCATGAGTCTTTCCAGCGAATCAGAGGATTCCCAGAAGGGGCGCCGGTGGTCAAGCCCAGGAGCCCCAGGGGGACGTGTCAGGAGCAGGGGCCAGCTGGGCATCCCAAAGTGGCAGCTGGGTGTCAGGACCAGCCTCCCCGCCAGAGTGCAGCGAAGGGGGTGGAGGTTTCAGTGTGTCAGGGGAAGCGGCTCCGGCAGCAGAGAAAGGAGGGAGGTCGGAGCAAGCCATCCTCCCGGAAGGGAGGGAGCAGTGAAGGAGTAGTGTAGCTGTTGAAAGGAAGGTTAGAGGCTGGGCGCGCGCGCCAGGTTCAAATGTAGAGGCGCGCGGAAGTACAGGGAGCCCGGAGGAGGGGCCAGGTCCCAAAGCCCGCAGGAGGGGCAAGAGCAGTCTGATTCCGCGTCAGAGGAATCCAGGAGGGCGAAGCCCCAGTGGGCAGAAGGACCCTGCGGAAAGGAAAGAGAGAAAGAGGTGGAGCAGCGCAAGCCTCTTAGAATTGGTGCAGGGGAGGGACGGATTCAGAGGGGACTTCAGCGGTCTAAGCGTAGCAGACGTAGGGCTGCGCGCCTAGGATGTCAAGCAAACAATGAACTGCAATAAACACTTTTGTATATAAGAAGACATAGGCGTTGGTCTTTTGTGAGCTGAGACTTGAGGCAGCCCTGACAGACACCTTCCCCTGAGACTGAAGAACCAGATGCCTCTGAGGTAGAAATTCTGTAAAAAACCATTATCAGTGAGGCCAGTGTCACATATGCAATAGTGTGTCCTGACCGGAAACAGTTTAGGTAGAGCCTAATGGCTGAATGCTAGAGTGAAAAGCAACTCCAGGTGGAGAAAAACAATTCTAGGAGGGCCCTGTGCATACAGTTTAAAAAGAAAAAAAGAAGTTAAGAAGTGTCTGCAAAGCAGGTTTTCTAACGGAGCATTATGGCACCATTTTTTAGCATTAAAAATCCCTGTCAAGCAGAAATGTTGTTCCATGACCAAAGTGCCGCCATTTTGTTTTTTCAGCTTTCATGGAGCTGATAAATATTTTGCAAACTGAAAAATCAACCTACATCGTTAACCAGGTAACAGGTTTGCCATGTTGCCAACTTCAGTATGTGCTGAATTTCCCACCTGACAAAACCTGATCTTTGCATGTGTTAATTGCTTAACGTCAGCGGAAAGGAAAAACAATTACCTTGAATGGTCAATGACAATAATGAATGCCAGCATCCGGCCGTGTCAGGCACTTGGCTAGTCAGTGCTGCAATATCCAGTGCCAAGTTATTGCTGACAAGGGCTGTAGCTCAGTGGCAGAGTGCTTGCCTTATATGCAGAAGGTCCTAGGTTCAATCCCCAATTGCATCCCCAAGTTAGGCCTGGGAGAGACCCCTGCCTGAAACCCTGGAGAGCTGCTGCCAGTCAGTGCAAGCAATTTTGAGCTAGATGGGGCAATGGCCTGGCTCAGTAAAAGTCAGCTTTGTAAGTCTACAAAGGGTAAGACTGGGAACTTTCCCTGTTTGAAAATCTACAGTGCCTTTGCCAGTCAGTGTAGGCAGCGCTGAACCAGATGGACCAATAGGTCTGATTTGGTAGAAGTCAGCTAAGTTCCTATGGGTAACATGGAAATCGCCACTGATGCTTTTTGCTCAGAGCTAGCTGCAGCTAAAAACCCAGCAAGGATATTTTTTTGGATGAGGGATAGACAGAGAAGAGCAGGAGAAGGCAGTGGGGGCTCCTGCCCAGCAGGTTAGGCACATTCTGCAAAATGGAGGTCTTGCCCTTTTGCTTAGCTGCGCTATAGTCCAAATTCCAAACTCTCCAGAATCACAAAATCTGGGTGATTTCTCTCTCTCTTTCTCTCTTCTGAACGGCTTTGCTAGCTTCCTTTGTGAATTGGATAAAGACCAGGTTCTGCAAAGCACTGAGCGGATGGCTGGCAGCAGCTCCCATTCAGAAGATCCCAGCATGCTGTGTAAATGGGATTTGAGCTCTTTTGATAATTGTTCTCACATGGGTCCCACTGAGCTGCCCTGAAAATCCAGCCCCATGTCCTAAACAATAATTTGAGCTAGCAGCCCATCCTTGGACCCAGCTGAGGTGATGATGGTGTAACAGAGATTCAGATGCCAATAATGTCAAAGTGAGATGGATAAAGCAAGTAGATTGCCTGCTATCTCCCCCCACCTCTTTTCATGTTTCTATCTCATGGGCTTCAGTAGACTCTGTTTACTATGGAGAGCTCTGATTTTCTGGGAACTGCCCTAGATACATCATTGCCCCCATTTTTCTTTCTGGGGCATTGCTGGGAATACATCTAATTATTATTATTGCTAGTGTGTACACTGTGGAGAAAGTGGATATAGAAAAGTCCCCACCCCCTCTCTCATAACACGAGAACTCTTGGGACATCCAATGAAGCTGACAAAGAAAAGGGAGGACTTCTTCACGCACAGCGCATAGTTAAACTATGGAACTCACTGCCACAAGAGACAGTGGTGGTCACCAACTTGGTTGGCTTTAAAAGAAGCTTAGACAAATTCATGGAGGTTAGATAAGACTATCAATGGCTTCTAGCCATGATGGTTGTGTTCTGCCTCCGCTGCATCTGAATACCAGTTTCTGGAGGTGGGAGGAGGGGGCTGTGCTGTGAATTCGGGTCAGGATTAAAATCAATAAATAAATACCAGTTTCTGGAAACTGCAGGAGGGGAGAATACTGCTGTGCTCAGATCCTGCTTGAAGGCTTCCCAGAGGCACCTGGTTGTCCACTCTGAGAACGGGATGCTGGACTAGATAGGCCATTGGCCTGATCCAGCAAGCTCTCCTTAAGTTCTTCTGTGGGTCTGTGCTCCTGCTTGTTCCACTCGCTAATGCCTCCCTCCACTCCCCATTAACCCACTAGAGCTTCCCCTTCCTACCCCAGGCAACTTGCTTTTCACACATCCACCTCCATTTCGGAAAGCACTTTCTTGTTCTACAACCCCAAGTAGCACCAATTTTCACCTCCCCTCCCCTCCCCATGCCCCCCACTCCTCCTGTGCAACTCCCCCTTACACGCAAAACACTCCCGTGGTACACTGAGTTAGGTGTACCAACGGTCTGACTTGGACCCCGTCTGCACTATACATTGAAAGCAGTGTTATCCTGGCTTCTCCCAAAGAATTATGGAAACGGTGACTTCTCATCAGGACACCTCTACAGTGGTACCTCGGGTTACAGACGCTTCAGGTTACAGACTCCGCTAACCCAGAAATAGTACCTCGGGTTAAGAACTTTGCTTCAGGATGAGAACAGAAATCGCGCAGTGGCAGCAGGAGGCCCCATTAGCTAAAGTGGTAGCTCAGGTTAAGAACAGTTTCAGATTAAGAATGGACCTCCAGAATGAATTAAGTTCTTAACCCGAGGTACCACTGTATTCTCTTTACAGAGCTACAGTTCCCAGAGCGGTTTGGCAATCAATCCCTTTCCCCATGGAAATCTGGGAATTGCAGCTCTGGGAAGGGAACAGGGTCTCCTAACAACTCTCAGAGCCTTTAACAGATGACAGTTTCCAGGATTCTTTGGGGGAAGCCACAACGTTTAAGTGGCATAATACTTCTTTAAACATATGGGGCAGATGGGACCGTTGTAGAATTCAGCTTCTTACTCTTGGCTATAAGAAGAGGGGTATATGTCCACACGAGAGGGCCCTCCTTTTGAGGTCTGAAATGTTGGAGTCTCTTAAGATGGAGTTCAACTGCTTAATGATACAGAGGGAAGGAAAGTTCTTACCTACCCTTCAAATCAAGAAGAATGCAGCCGCCCCATCAACAATTTAAATATCTTCCATTAAGGTGAGTTGGCGCTTTGGACTTTTACTCTAGTTTCTCTCCCCCCCACCCCCCTTCCTCTCCCTTTGAACAGCTCCTGCTGCTAGGTCTGGAAAGTCCTGTGCCATAAAGAAACGCTGGAGCCCCAGCAAAATAAAGACAAAGAGAGAGAGAGAGAAAGCTCTGTGAGAAGAAGTTCAAAAGAAGCGGAGACTAAGAATGAAGTTTTCAAGCTATGTTCCAAGGCAAGGACTTTTTCATCTTTAAACCTTTGAATTGCGAATTCACGCCAGTAAAAGTTACTACTAGGTTAAAGTTTAAATGGCATAGAAAAAGGAGTGAGAGAAAAGATTAAACATGTTCTGTCTGGACAGTGGAACAAAGACTTTGAATCCTTATCTATGCACCTGTCTATAGACCGTCTAAGTTCTCGGAGTCCCACAGAGGACATGAGATGAAGTCCTCTTATTGTTCGTATTAAGGACGGAAGTAATTGAAAGGAAAAGGGAAAGGAAGGGAGAAAAAGGGTCTCGAATCAGCTATGACTGCCTGTATGGTTAAAAAATAATTTAAAGGGAAAGGGACTGTCAAGCAGTTCATATTATGGAAATCTGACCGTTGAAGGCAGAGTCCCCCCTCCCCCCGCAAAGATCTCTGGCTATTATTCTTTGCAAGAGTTTCTCATGCCCTCTCCAAATTAACGTCAATGGACACACTGAAAAATTGGCCATTTTTTTTACAGCTGTTCCGTTTTTTTGCCCAGTTTAAGTTTTGGGATCAAAACTAGCAATTTCCTGTTGCCCACAAGCATTAAGGCAGGGGCGGCTCTCCAGATGTTTTGGCCTACAACTCCAATCGACCACATTTGCTGGGCCCCCCAGATTGGCCAGCATGGCCAATGGTCAGGGATAATTGGCGTTCTAACAACCTCTGAATGTTCACCACGGTTTAACCACCCCTGCCCTAAGAGATGGTGCAGTCCAGCTCTGGATACTTTCCATGTATTTCTGCAAAGCTTGAGAGAGGTATGTTTACACCCAGCCTCCACAGCAAAAGGAAAGGGGGTGCAGTTCAGTGGCTGATCACTTGCTTTGCATGCAACGGGTCCCGGACTCAACCCCTGGCATCTTTATGTGGGGCTGAGAGAGACCCCTCTCTGACACCCTGCAGAACCACCGCCCAGACCAGCCTTCTCCAATTTGATTCCCTTACAGATGTTTTCAGACTCCAATTCCCATCAGTCTCATCCGGAATGGCCAATGGTCAGGAATGACAAGAGTCATATTCCAAAACACGTGGAGGTCACCATGTTGGGAATGTCCGGGATAGACGATGAGCTTGATGGACCAGTTGCCTATGCAGGGCTGGCTTCAGGTTTCTGGCCACAGGGTGTCAGTGGGCCCCTTAACACCTCCCTTTCTTCCTCAAAGCATACCCATCCCTCTTGACCCCACCATTTAAATCAGTGCTTCCCAAAGTGAGCAGTGGGATTACCGAGGGAGGCACTAAGAGGCAAAGGGGTTGCAGGAGGTATAAATGACTATCAGACTTTGGAAATCTGGTATCACTGGATCAAGTTAATTCATTTAGTTGAATTAATTCAGCTAAAAGGTTTTAGTGGGATTGTGCAATGCTGTGCTCTTAATTGCTCCTGTTTTGAATTTTATTGTGCTATTGTTTTCCTTATTGTGCAAACTGCTATGCTGAAAAATGACACTTATAGGATAGGGCAGGGGGCACTGGGGGTGTTTATGGAACCAAGGGGGTGGTGGCCCCACCGATTTAAACAAAAACAAATTTTGATCGATTGACAAAGAAATAGGCAAACTTTAGTATTTAGCTTATTTTTATTCATCAGATGTTGGATAAATATGTCCCAATACCCCAATGAATGTTATTTTGTGATGCATTGCTCCCAATTATCTTAACGTATGAGATTTTATACATTAGTATCTTATGCTGTATGGCATTTAAAAATAATATTTTACTCAAAGTACCAAAATGCTGCATACTTCTCAAGGTTCTATACATGGTTTTCAGCCCACAACACACCAAAACAAACAGAAAACCCATATTCAGATGGGTCTCTTTTCTTTATGGCATATAGAATTAGAATCTCAGAAAATAAAACTCCTGTTTGAGGGGTGGGGGCTGCATATGATTTAATTTAAATTCAGGCGCTGTGCAGATTTGACACGGCGTCATTAATTTTACAGAATATATGTTCGACTGGGTATTGTACACAATGTCACTTGGCGTATGTCTTCATTTGTTAGAGTGTGCTGATTTGTTACAGCACTTCAACACCTGCCCTGTGAACTGAAGAGTACATTCTCTTGCCAATCCGGAAACCCTTAGATTGAATTGCGTATTTGAATTGCCCATCCATCTCATCCAGTGAAAGTTGTGCTGTGCTCTTATGCCGCTGCAAAATACTCTGGCACCGTTGAACATAAAGCATTTAGAAATGCACCCATAGCAATGATCCAACTGGCGACACCATATCACTTTCTCCTTCTCATAAAGTAAATCTCTAGGGGTGGTACCTGACTACGTGGTATCCAACTAAGTAGACCCACTAAAATCAATTATTTCAGTGGATCTACCTGGGATATGATCAATGTTTTTTCTTCTAGGGGAAAGAAAGGTGTCGGTACGCCATATGCTTGAGTACCCCCAGAGAAAAAAGCACTGGTATGATGCGTCCTTTCACCTCCAGGACACAGGAAAACTATTTTTGCATGAATATATTGTTAATATAAAAGGTTACTTTTATGATGCCCATGTGAACTTGTGCACTGACTACATAAGATCTAGCATGTATTGGAGATGAATGAATCCATCAGTTTTGGTTCTCAGAGAGTCTCATTTTCCCAAGTCTTAAATTCAGGTCTCCACAATTCCACAGCAATTTGTGATTATTATTTTAAATTTAAAAATCCTCATGAAAATCCACCAACATCTTAGTGTGATTTTTATCCTAAACACATTTTTCTATGCGGTTTTGACTAATATACACATTTTTGCAGGCAATTTTCTCTACTAGAATGCAATTATGTATTTGATTTTTGTGATTATATATGTGTGCTAATGCACATTTCCACCCCCCCCCAATGGAATGTATTTTTGTACACCTTGTTTTATCGTAGGACTGCATTGTAAAATTCAGAGATGTGCAAGTTTGGAAAGACAGCTGCTTTTCAGTTTGTATGTTGGTTTGAGAAGTGCAAATTACTGGTAGGTAGTTTCTCGTGAAAGTGGGAACAAAGCAATATTTCTCCTCCACCCACAGAAAGCATGCATTTGCACAACTTCAAAATGTGTTGTATCAAACTCTCTTGTCAAATAACCTGGTTTTTTGAGGTGAGGCTGGTCTTCCCTTTTGCATTTGGATTTGGCAGCTGAGCCATTGCGCTTTCCCCTGAAAAGCTTGCAAAGTTTGCCCCCTTTTGTTTCAGTTTTTTAGGACCTGTGGAGTCGTCCATAAAGGAGGCTTCCTGTAGGGATGCCAGGGTCCCGTGGCCAGTTGGTAGAGAGGGCAGAGCAAAATAAAAAAAAGGAGGGGGGGTAAAATTCTGTGCAGGAGGGCATCCACAGAAATCTTTTCAGGATTTCCACTTTGTTCCCTTTGGCTGGGAAGTTTCTTTTGAAAATTGGTGCTGTGGAAGTGGATAAATGAAAGAGAAGGACATGGGGCTGAATGGCAATGTTCTTTCGGGAGTTCAATAAATTTATATAGTGGGAGATGGTGAGAAAGAGAGAAAAGGGTGGGGGGCAGTGAAGAGAGGAAGTTCATATCTGATAAAATGCCCACCAGAAAACCCTCTAATTTGTTAATAGTGCAGGGCGAAAGGGTGGGATACAGACAATTTAGGCTATTCCCTCCTTTGGAACGCGTTCCATGGTTTGCTCACGGTAATGTTTCATTTCATTGCAGTAACCGCTTGGCTTTTTAAAGCAACCAAAAATTGAAGCACGAATAATGTAGAATAGATAGCTTGTGGTCAGTGTGATTCAGATCTATTTCACAGCTAGGGTTTGGTGGTTTTCTAAGTAATTTCCCTCCCTAAATCATGTCCCTTATGTCTCAGCATCCCCACTTAAAACATATGGCTGAAAGGATTTAGGCTCTGACTGCAACCCTTTTTGAAAATGCAGATCAAGGGAAGAGCGACAAAAAAAGCATCATTCCAAACCCACATTCTCTCCCTCTCTCTATTAAAAAGAGTAAGTGCAGATGCAAAATGTTCCAATCTCTTGGAGAAATATTCCCACTATCATACTTACTTCCATGCTTAGGATTGAGCCTTAACCATAGGAAAACAGGAAGCTGCCTTATCCTGAGTCTATTTTAGTATTGTTTACACTGAGTGGCAGCTGCTCACCAGGATTTTAGGCAGGGGTATCTCCCATACCTTCCTGGAGATGCCAGAGGTTGAACTTGAGATCTTCTGCATGCAAGGCAGATGCTCTACTGCCCTTCTCCCAATCTTAGGTCGCACCTGCATTATGCATTTAAAGCAGCATCATGCCACTTGGAAAAGTCATGGTTTCCCCCAAAGAATCCTGGGAACTGTAGTTTGTTAAGCATGCCAAGAGCTCTTAGGGGAACCCTATTCCCTTCACAGAGCTACAATTTTCAGAATGGTTAACAATTGATACCTCTTCTCAGGGAACCCTGGGAATTTAGGGGAGGGTCATTGCTCAATGAGACTCTTGAGAGTCCCATGGATTGCTAGAAGATCAAACCTATCCATTCTTAAGGAAATCAGCCCTGAGTGCTCACTGGAAGGACAGATCCTGAAGCTGAGGCTCCAATACTTTGGCCACCTCATGAGAAGAGAAGACTCCCTGGAAAAGACCCTGATGCTGGGAAAGATGGACAGCACAAGGAGAAGAGGACGACAGAGGACGAGATGGTTGGACAGTGTTCTCGAAGCTACCAGCATGTGTCTGACCAAACTGTGGGAGGCACTGGAAGACAGGAGTGCCTGGCGTGCTCTGGTCCAGGGGGTCACAAAGAGTCGGATATGACTAAACAACAACAACAACAAAGCCAGGGGCATTGTGCCCCATTTCAACACTTGAGGCAACATGAGAAGTGCTGCTCTGCTGCTCTGCCCACCTTGACACATCTGCTGTTGGCACCGCTACTGTGCCACCCACAACTGCCACCACTGCCACAATGCCCACCTATGCTGCCGCTGCCGCCGCAATGCCTTCACTGTTGGCATCATCTGTGCAGAATTCTGGTGAGATCTCATAAGACCTCCTGCACTCCGTGAGATCTTGTGAGATTTTGGTACAATCTCTTACGATCTTACCAGAAATTGGCACTGATGCAGGCAGTATAGGTGGTAGTGCCTCAGGGGCTTCCAGCGCCTGAAGCGGCTACTACACCTCACTGCGTGAGTGGGCCGGCCCTGTGTAGAGCATCTGCTTTGCAGGCATAAGGTGCCAGACATCTCCATGTAGGACTCAAAATACCTGAAAGCCCCAGTTGCGGGACAATGAGAGTGAAGCTGACAAACTATTGAGGAAGTATGGCTGTGTAAGGATGCAACCTCATGGTTCCACAGAAGGCACCCCAGGGTTTAGAGTTGGAAGAAGGCATTCTGTCCTACACAAAGCACCCTTTCCATTCCACTGCAGTTTGTCCTGCACCCCCACTCAGCTGATGTTAGTCACTGCACGGTCGTGTCATGTTATGTGTTCTTCCACCCTGCTCATTTCAATACAAAGGAAAAACAAGAGAAATGGTACAGTGTGGGGTGGTAATGAAGCATGTATCATTTGCAGACTGAAAGGAACAACAACGGAGAATACAGGTTATGTTTGCTGGGGTGATTTCCGATTCGGGCATGGGATGAATAAGCAAAACAATTGGCAATTTCAGCACCTGGTTCCATTTTTGTTGAGATTGGGTGGCCAAACAATTTGAACCAGCATTTTTAGTCTCTGCAACTGAAACAGGGGCACCCGGCAAGTATGTCCAAGGCATGAACAGATAGGAAAACTTGTTAGCCTGAGCACTGTGTCTTGTGTTTGGATGAAATAGGATGAGTGGCCAATTCCTTTTCACTTTAGAATAAAAGAAAAGCCCTTATGGGTCTGAACAAAGACCCATCTAGTGCAGGCATCTTGCTCTCACAGCCACTGACCAGATACCTGTGACAAACAGGATCCAAGCTCAACAGCACGCTCTCTCCACTTGCGATGCTCAGCTAGTGTCACTGAGAGGCCTGCTGCCTCCATCAGGGGAGGCGGAACACAGCCCACATGGCTAGCAGCCAATGGGAAGAGATGGAAACACCACCCAAACAATGACATCCGTACAAAGGCTCATTGCCGTACAACCTCTGTGCAAACAAATCACGACAAATGCTCAGGAAGGACCATATATTGTCTCACCTCTGTGTGATCTTTGTGCAAGCAAATCCGGATGGATGATCAACAAACAGGCCATCTGGCAGAGCCCCGGGTTTTGCATTGCTTGAGCAAGCTGTCTTTAGCTTTCCAGCACCGTGGATGTTTAAAACATTGAAGAACAAATATACGGCCTCAGGTAAGCCATTAAGCAAAATAAACAAGCCAGGAAGGAGTTGGAGAGTGAAGGTGCTGCTCGAATAAGGAAGGCCTTCAGTGAGAAAGGCTCGTATTTTAATCATCCAGGGGAGCAAATGCTGGCTGGATGTGGCAGGTGACTTATTTAATACCGGCCGGCTCTAGCTAGCTGTACCAAGACTGCCATAAAAAAGCATGTATTTATATGCACATGCCTAAGAGTCTGCAGGCAGGGCATGTAATAGGCTTGCTGTACTCTTTAGACTGCAGGAAGCTGAGCTTATGTTTTCAAACTCCAGATTTCCTGTCCATCTCAAGCTTGTCCCAACGGCATTTAGGCCAGCGACTTGTGTGATGAGAAAATCAGCAGTAGAGAGACAGAAGCTATCTGGACTTCCCCAGCTCAGTTAATTTCTCTACACACAGATCATTTGGGTATGTTGGGCCAGCAGAGAGCTGCCTGCAGCACCTTATGGACGATTTAATCCATACCTATATATCTTTATTGTTCTGGTGGTCAGTCATAGCTAGGTGATCTTGCGCCCGTGGCAGAACAGTCCAGATTGCACCCCCTAGCCATGGACAAATTAGCTCTTCTTTCTGCCTCTCCTCCAACCCCCCACTCCACTCATTCAATGCACCCTCTATTTAAAACCTTTTCTTATGAGACAATAATCAATATTTTTATTTATGGACATATTTTAGCTGATTTTGTGCCTGTCCCTCACCTGCACCCCTGGCAGGGGCCCACTTCACCACCCCCTAGCTATGGCCCTGCTGCTGCTGGTGGTGGTGGTTGCTCTTGTTGCTTTATTTGTTTGCTTGTTTAGTGCATTTGCAGCCCACCTTCCCTCCAAGTTGTTCAAGGTGGCGTACAAAGTTATTCTTCCTATTTTATCCACTCAACAACCCTGTGAGGTAGGCCGGAAGTGAGTGAGTGGCCCAGTGTCACCCACTGAGCTTCATGGCTGAGCAGGGATTTGAACCCTGATTCCCCCAGTCCTAGTCCAATACTCTAACCACTACACCACTCTGGCTCTTCTCTGTATATCTATAGCTGTGGGATGCTATGGTGCGGCTAAATGCAGTTAGGGGTTGAGAACCTTTTTCAGCCCAGGAACAACGTTTTTTGGGGGGGGATGCAGGGGGGAATAGATGCCATTGGTGGGCGGGGCCAGAGGCTAAAGTGGGTGGAGCAATGAAGGCAAATTTTACTTTTGTGCAATAAGCTAGTTTCTATACATGCTCTTCTCTGTCCTCCATCCAGACAGGCAAGAGGCATGATCAGAGTTGAAGGACACATTTCAGCAGAGAGAACCCACCAGGCCACACTATTTGCCCAAGTAGCCCAGGATTCTCTGTTCTGGTAGAAACTCCCTAGGCTCACAGACAGACATAAGTCTTTCCTATTCCCCAGGAAGGAGTCTTGTTTTACACACAAGATAATTAAAAACAGTTAAAAATCACAAAACCAAACCAATACATTTAAAATAACACCAAAACCAGTGCTTTTTTTTTTTCTTCTAAAAAAATGTTTAGGGGTACTCTCATTTTGAATCAAGAAAATCACCATTTTATAGTTCAAATCAGGAATAATAAATATGTACCGTAAATGGATAAAAGTATAAAGAACATGCATTACTCATATTGAAATACTTCCCCTCAACGAGGCCAAACTTTCATCATTAAAGCACCACACATCCAAATTCCACACTGCTTCACACATTAAACACTCGCTTCCGTCTGAGACTCAGGAAACACCGTGACAGGAAATGAGGCCGCCATCGGGGGTAGCAACAGAACTGATGATTCACCATGCTAGAGAAGAAACTTAAAAAAAAAATAATTGTTTCTTCTCCCGTTAAATTCACAAAATGTTTAGGGGTATGCATACTCCTGCATCCCTCCAGAAAAAAAGCACTGACTAAAACCATAACAAGTGGCCACTTGTAGTAAAACCCATTTATCCAGCTATGAAAAGCTGTCGGAACAAAAACACATACCCTCCAACATTCCTCTGACAAAAATAGGGGCGTCCTATTCTTCTTCATCATCATCATCATCATTATTAATTTTATTTATACCGCGCTCATCTGACTGGGTTGCCCCAGCCACTCTGGGCGGCTTCCAACATATATAAAAACATAATAAAACATTAAACATTAAAAAAGCTTCCTTCTACAGGGCTGCCTTCAGATGTCATCTAAAGGTTGTCTAGTTACTTATCGCCTTGGCTTGGGGGTCACATAACTCCATACCCTCCAACATTTCTGCAGTGAAAATAGGCTCATCCTCAGGAAAAGCAGGACATTCCGGGATCAAATCAGAAACTGGGGCAGCTTTTCTAAATCAGGGACATCCCTGGAAATTAGGGACACTTGGAGGGTCTGCTGTTCCATGGAACAGGGTCAGCCACACCCAAAGCTCTGTTCTGAGTTACTGTGGTTTCTGAGATCTTTGGAACTTGCAGGAGAAACTCTGCAAGGCCTGCAGGAGGCTGTGGCTCACCAGTCATGCGCAGGGGCTCACTTGGTGCTTACCAACCACATTTCTGTGATTCTGGGAGCAAGCGGCAAAAAATGGAGGTTTAACGAGCCCCCGGTGGGCTGCTGTGCATGGCTAGTGTGTTGCTTTAGGCTCGGCAGGTCACAGGTTGAGGAGGCCCAGCTGTAAACTGAGATGCTCAGAAATTCACGGGTTGCTTCTGAATGTGTGCGTAGCAGATTAACGTCCCAATCTGCATGAGTTCTACTTCTGAGATAATCAGATTCAATGCCCTGCATGCTCCCCCCACATCACCCCAGCAAAGATGCACCGTCCCCCAGTGTAAGAAGTGGAGGTCAAATTAGGATTCAGTGTTTTATTACTGGAAGATTTGACTTGGTCCAGACTGTTCATTAATGGGTCTTTCCACTTCTCATCCGCTCACTGTGGCAAATGAGTTTCTGGAAAGGGCAAGAACAGTTCTGGAATGGGATTCTCTCTGTGTGTAAGAGAGAGAGAAGGTCCGAGGGAGAGGGAGGCATATTGGATGCATTAATTACAGTACAAGTATAATTTTGGCTTCTAGCCTCATGCAACATCTGAGGTCATTTGAGAATTAGGTTGAACCCAGAACTCTGGAGCCTGAAGGTGGAGAACTGTGTCTGGCAGCAACTGGAAATGTGACCAACACCACCAAGAACACAAAATAAGCTTTCCTGAACCAGAAAACAGTCTTCCTTTGAAATGCACACGTCTCTGAATTTTGCAGAGCAGTTCTTCAGTTCTCCAGGTAGTGGGTACAAACAGCATATGTACTGGGGTTAAGTGTGGATAAAATGCATCTATTAGTAAAAACAACAATAAGGTCCATATAGTTAAAGTCATGGTTTTCCCAGTAGTGATGTATGGAAGTGAGAGCTGGACCATAAAGAAGGCTGATCGCCGAAGAATTGATGCTTTTGAATTATGGTGCTGGAGGAGACTCTTGAGAGTCCCATGGACTGCAAGAAGATCAAACCTATCCATTCTGAAGAAAATCAGCCCTGAGTGCTCACTGGAAGGACAGATCCTGAAGCTGAGGCTCCAATACTTTGGCCACCTAATGGGAAGAGAAGACTCCTTGGAAAAGACCCTGATGTTGGGAAAGATGGAGGGCACAAGGAGAAGGGGACGACAGAGGGTGATATGGTTGGACAGTGTTCTCAAAGCTACCAGCATGAGTTTTACCAAACTACGGGAGGCAGTGGAAGACAGAAGTGCCTGGAGTGCTCTGGTCCATGGGGTCACGAAGAGTCGGACACGACTAAATGACTAAACAACAACAGTAAAAACAATATACAATAATGCATTGATTTATTATTTTTATTATTTATTTGCATTTATATCCCACAGTTTCTCTAAGGAGCTCAAGGTAGCAGACGTGGTTTCCCCTCCACATTTGATCCCCACAACAACCCAGTGAGGAAGGTTAGCAACTGACCTCCCAAGGTCACCCTGCAAGTTTCATGGCCAAGTGAGGATTTGAACCCTGGTCTCCTCGGTCCTAGACCGACACTCTGACCACTGCACCACCACCGGCTTTGCGAAAATGTACATATTAGGCAAAATTGCATGCAAAAAATAATGTGTCCGTTAGAAGAAATTTGCACTAAAATGGTGGTGAATTTTCAGGATGACTTTTTTAAAAATCGCAAACTGATATGGAAGTGGAGAGAACTGGACTTAAGAGTGGAAAAAGTAGAAACAGAGAGAAACCAAAATTGGCAGATTTCCCCATCCCTACTCATGTGGCAAGTGGCTTGCTTTTCTAGCCTACCTTTTCCTCCAAGGAGCTCAGGGTAATGTACCCCTCCATTCCCACAACCACCCCAGTGAGGTAGGTTAAGCTGAGAGTGAGTGTCTGGTCTCCAAGGTCACCCCTTGTGAGCTTCATGGCCAAGTGGGAATTTGACCCCTGCTGTCTCCCAGGTCCTAATCTGATGCTCTAACCACTACACCACACTGACTATACTAGATCTAAACTAGATCTATATCTAGTTTAAAATAGCCATGTGTGTGATCTCTTTCTTTATATCTCTCTCACACACATGAAAGCCTTCCCCCCTTATTCTCCTCTCTTCCCCTTGACACGGGTTCTCTGTGCTTTTCTATAAATATTTCACTAGCACTTCTAAAAGTCTATTTCATCCCCTCTTTTAATAGTATCAAATATAAATGCAGCACTGGAACGGCAGCAAGTGCCGGTGATGGCTGGGCAAACATAAAACTTCCCTTGAAGTGCAAAGAAGTGGATGGCAACAATTTGGCTTTATCTATTATATATAAATACATACGGCTTGCCATTGATATGGTTCCTGTGAAACTCGCAGGACAGAGATGAGGCTTTCTGCTAACTTGCTATCATACTTCACTATGGTGAATCGGGGTGGGAAAGATGCTTTGTTATGTTGTTGTTGTTTGGTTGTTTAATCGTGTCCAACTCTTTGTGATCCCATGGACCAGAGCATGCCAGGCACTCCTGTCTTCCACTGCCTCCTGCAGTTTGGTCAAAGCTTCGAGAACACTGTCCAACCATCTCGTCCTCTGTTGTCCCCTTCTCCTTGTGCCCTCAATCTTTCCCAACATCAGGGTCTTTTCCAGGGAGTCTTCTCTTCCTTTGTTATGTCATCTTCGTGGTATTGGAGAAGCGGTCACACAACTGTATTCCCTACCCTGCCACTGCCACTATGCGGCGCTTTGGGGCATAAGCAAAGGCTGGGGTAGACCATGGCTTCACAGCGCCTCAGAGTGGGCTTTTACTTCTAGGTAAAACATAGGGGTTTTTTTTTCTTCCTTCCAGCTACTTGAAATGGAGAACTCTGCATCCTGAGGCTAGAACTGTCTGCCCAAGTCTGTAAACTTGGCTACAGGTCTAGGCCAAGGGACATAAAGAGATGGATGGCTTTCATGCTGAAATTCAGCCTACATGTTGGGAAGCAGGTGAGGAACGGAAGCCACAGAGAGGGTCTGCTAACCTGTGGCTTGAACTGGCCAAGACCACAAAGTCTGTTCCCAGAGGGAACAGCAAGTGTGACTCAGGAACAAAACCCTGCAGCGCCAAGTGCTTCTGCACTCAGGGATGCCTGTGTGGTGTAGTGGTTAGAGCATTGGACTAGGACCTGGGAGATCAGGGTTCAAATCCCCACTCAGCCATGAAGCTCCCTGGGTAACCTTGAGCCAGTCATTGCCTCCCAACTGAACCTACCTCACTGGTTTGTTGTGGGGGTTTAATGAGGAGGACAACTGCGTATGCCACCCTGAGGTCCTTGGAGGAAAAGGTGGGATAACAAATGCAATAAAACAGAAACAAATTCCTCGCTCCAGGCTCCCCAAGTTCCATTCTGGGGGAAATGGAGAAGGTACATAGATAAGTGGAAGAGCATTTGCTTTTTGCACAGAAGGTGCCGGGTTCAATCCCTGAGATCTCCACAAAGGGCTGGGGAAGACCATTCTCTGAAATCCTGCAGAGACATTGCTGGTCAGGGTAGACAACACTGTACTGGATGGACTAGTGGCTTGAGCAGGTACAAGGCAGTGTCCTGCACTCCTGTTTTTACAAGGGAAGGGACATAGCTCAGTGGTAAAGCTCTTGTTTTGCATGCAGAAGGCCTAGGTTCAATCCCTAGCATTTCTATGCAGGGCTAGTAGAGACCTCCATGTTCAGAACCCTGGAGAGCTTCTGCCAGTCAGTGTGGGCAATATTGAGGTAGATGGATCAATAGTCTGACTCTGTAAAGGGCAAGTTCCTATGTCTGCCTGTCTCTCTCTCGTTCTTTCTCTCTCACACACACACATACCCTACAAACACACACCAAAGACCACGTGGTCCACCAAGGATGTTCAATCTTCACTGAGCTGTTTTAGGAGTTTTGTCCCAAAATATTTATTGATTTGATTAGATTTGATTTCTAAGCCACTTTTTTAAAAAAACTAAGCAATATACGACAACAAGAAAAGCGTAAGATAAAACATAGCTAAACATAAACATAGCTAAAACGTGCGTCAGAAAATGCCTGGGTAAAATTACATTTTTAGGAGGTGGCAGAAAGAGATAGCTCCTTGCTTCTGCTTCTTCTTCTTCTTCTTCTTTAAAAAAAGGTCCTCATGAAAATTCATCAGCATTTTAGTGCAATTTCCCCCCTAATATTTTTCATGCAATTTTGACCAATATACACATTTTCGCAAAGCCGTTTTCCCTAACTTGAGGCATTTTTATTGTTATTTTCATGAATATGTGTATGCACACCAGTAGATGCATTTGTTGCCTGCACTGCAAAATTAGGAGAAGCGCAAATTGTGAAGGGGCATGTTTCGATTTGCGTGTTGTTCCTAGAAGTGCAAATGATGTGGGTTTGCCTTTAAATGCAAACAGTGTCAAAATACCCCCCCCATCATCTCTGCCCTGCAGGGAAGACCTTCTGCTGCCTCTCAGGGCCAGAGAGGCCAAACCCTGTGAATGGATTGGATTTTCTTTATTAGTCCTTTCCGAGCCTCGGTGCTTTCGGAATGCCTTTCGAAGTGCAAACGTTTAAACATGGACTTTAGCTGTGAATTTAATAAAAAAAAGCGCGATCTGGAAATGTCGATTCTGTTTGTCTAGATCTCAGGATTTGACAAAATTGCCATTCCTGTCATCAAAAGCCCCAGGACAAGCGAGGTGCGTTTTCCTGAGGCTTTCCCCTTGTTTTCATATTCTGTCGTAATGAGAGATGATGGAGGGAGAAACGAGGTTATTAGAAATGTTATACGGCCTGCGAGAGAAAAGCCATTTTCTTTTTCATTTTGACCCCCATGTGCTGTAATTGTGAAGGATTCTTTTTGGCTTCTAAGTTAATGCACTTTCATTGATTTGGTTTAACTTCATGCATTGGAATGAGCTTTCTTTTGTCTTTCTTTTGGTCTTTTTTAAAAGCAAGTTTAACTTGGTTGAGAAAATGCAAAGGGAAAACACCCACACCAGATATTTGAAGTTGCTCTTCTCAGACAAAACATCCTTATTCGGTATATACTCCAGCTATCTCACTTCATTAGGACCATCCTTATTTACCTTACACTGGCAAAAGCCTGTTTGTATCTTGTCCGGATTTACTATTCTTCAAATGATATAAGAAAAAAACTGCTCCTTTTCCGTTTTGGGGTACCCATATAGAGTCCTTTTGTTGGTTCTCTCTTGGTAGGAGAAAATAACAGAGACCAACCAGAGAATATTGAGAAGCAAAGCAGCTAGTAAACCTGATCTTTATTAACTGTTGCAACAGGGTGCTCTGCCACACGCAGGAGAGAGGAGGAGGACTCAGAACAAAGGTGTGCCTGCCCTTATATTGACATTTTAAATTGCCCGCCCTGGAGTCCAAGACCACCCCCAGATACATCTTACTTACATCACAGAAAAGGCGGTCTACAACAGAAATCTGAATGCGTTGTTTATCTCCTGTTTGGCAAGTTACCTGATTGCATCATCTGCGTTTTGGCCACTCTTTTGTTATTATAACTACAGTGGTACCTCGGGTTACATACGCTTCAGGTTACAGACTCCGCTAACCCAGAAATAGTACCTCGAGTTAAGAACTTTGCTTCAGGATGAGAACAGAAATTGCGCAGCAGTGGCGCAGCAGCAGCAGTGGGAGGCCCCATTAGCTAAAGTGGTACCTCAGGTTAAGAACAATTTCAGGTTAAGAACGGACCTCCGGAATGAATTAAGTTCTTATCCAGAGGTACCACTGTACCTTGGGTTAAGAACTTTGCTTCAGGATGAGAACAGAAATTGTGCGGCGGCGGCGGCACAGCGGCAGCAGGAGGCCCCATTAGCTAAAGTGGTACCTCAGGTTAAGAACAGTTTCAGGTTAAGAACGGACCTCCAGAACGAATTAAGTTCTTAACCCGAGGTACCACTGTACTTAATTCCTGAATCTAGGTCACAGGTTACAGGCTCACACCCCGTTTATATCTTGAACGTGCTCTTAAGACAGGATTTGTGAGGAAAGAGACAATGGGGAGGTTTCTCACTTTGACCTTGCAGAGAAATATTTGAGGTAAATTTGTTCACGACCTTTTCTATGGGGTTTCAGACATGTGGTTTATATATATAGTTATGAACATTTCATTTTATATATATATGACCTTAAAATTCTTATAGCACAACCTACTACCCCAGATCTGTAGAAAGCAGACATCTCCATTCTGGGTGGTGATGCATGTCTCTTGTGTCTATTGCAGATATACTGGTATATATCAGGAAGGGGTTTATCTCAGTAGCATCAAGGCATATTGCAATGGTAAGATCTCAGGTTAAATCCCTGGCATATCAAGGTAAGGCGGAGGAAGACCTTTCTCTGAAATCCCTGGAGAGCTGCTGCCACTTGACCTGACTTCCCCAACCTGGTGCCCTCCAGAAATTTCAGGCTACATCCCCCATTAGCTTCAGCTAGCATGGCCAATGCCTCCAGCTGTGGCCATTGCTAGCCTTCTCCTCCATGTCTAATCCTCTTTTAAAGCCACTCAGGTTTGTGGCCACTGCTACCTGCCGTGGGAGCAAATTCCAGAGTTTAACTATGTACTTCGCTTTTTCCTGTCTGGAGTCTCCCAACATTCAGCTTCACTGGATGTCCCTAAGTTCTAGTCTTATGAGAGAGGAGAAAAGGAACTTTTATCTACAACCACTTTCTCCATGCCATGCCTAATTTTCTAAATGTCTTTCATGTCAACCCACCTTTTCTCTAAACGAAAATGCCCCAAATGCTGCAACCATTACCCACAGGGAAATCGCAGCCGTTACTTCTGAATTTGCATCTATGCAATAAATTGGCATATGCAAACGTCACACAAATCTGTGTCCTCTTCCATCTTCTTGTCCTGTAGATGCATTTCCTGGTTTGGGTGAGATGTGTGACTGGCTACCTTATCTCTGAAAGTCAAAGCTGATGGGAGCTGCCAGGTCAGGTACCAGCCAATAGGGTTGGTCCTTGGGACAGTTGTTGTGCATATGGTAGCATGCTGGGGGAGAAAAAAACACAATGGGATTTAATTGCTCACTTAGTAATGTGTTTGTGTTCGCTGGATACTTCTTACACATATACCTGTGGGCCTGGCACGCTCCAAAAAGGACTTTGCCAAGGTTAGTCTTAATGGCTAAATTATGCAAATTCAAATTAAAAATATTTTCTTAATAGAAGATGCATAAATTATTCCCAGCTGGCCTGCAAGTGACAATAAATTTGATGCTCCTGGAAATTAAGATGGCCCACTTTTAGTAGCTTGCTGTTCCATTACAAAGGATGCATTATTCATTTCAGAAGGCTCCATCCTTCCTGGTTTCTCCAAGAAAGGACATTTAAGCTGCCGCCTATGCAGACTTAACCTGGGCTGAAGCCCTGCCAAAAATAAGGGAGCTTACTTCTGCATAAATGGGACTGCACCACTGGACACTTCTCAAGCCGCTGTCTCCTTTAACCTCTGCATCCATTACTGTGGGATTTAGAACTCTATGCAAAAAGTTATACCTTTTAAGGAAAGGCGTTTTGCATTTTTAATAATTCATTTTGCAATTATGTCATATGGACACCTTTATAGATTATACGTTCCAAAGTGGCTTGCATAAATGTTTCCAATTCATCCATTGCAAAAAGTGGTGCACAATACACCTGACAAAATGTAGCCTCTAGTTTTGCATAGGGCTCTGCTATCAGTTCAGGGTGGGGCAGCTGTTTTCAGTCGGACGGCTGCATTCCCTTTTAGGCAAGTTTCCGCGTGCTTGTGGTGGTGGGTGTCAAGGAGCCATCAGGCAAGTGCAGGTCATCCACAGGGCAGGAAGAACGTGAGGCATGAAATGCAATTTGCTTCTATTCACAGAAAGTAACAACGCAACACAGTTACAGTGGTACCTCAGGATGCAAATGGGATCCTTTCCGGAGCCGCGCTCGCATCCTGAATAGAACGTAAGACGTGACAGCTTCCGCGCATGTGCGTGACATCATTTTGACCGTCTGCACATGCACGAGAGGCGAAACCCGGAAGTAACGCACTCCGTTACTTCCGGGTCGCTGTGGAGTGCAACCCAAATACTTATCCTGAAGCATATTTATCCTGAGGTATGACTGTAAAGGTAAAGGTACCCCTGCCCGTACGGGCCAGTCGTGTCCGACTCTAGGGTTGTGCGCTCATCTCACTTAAGAGGCCGGGAGCCAGCGCTGTCCGAAGACACTTCCGGGTCACGTGGCCAGCGTGACGAAGCTGCTCTGGCGAGCCAGCACCAGCGCAGCACACAGAAACGCCGTTTACCTTCCCGCTATAAAGCGGTACCTATTTATCTACTTGCACTTAGGGGTGCTTTCGAACTGCTAGGTGGGCAGGAGCTGGGACCGAAAGACGGGAGCTCACCCCGCCGCGGGGATTCGAACCGCCGACCATACGATCGGCAAGTCCTAGGCACTGAGGTTTTACCCACAGCGCCACCCACTTCTTCAGCTGGAGATGTTGCTCCCCACTTCCCCTCTAGCCTCCCAGTCTGGATCCCTCCCAAGCAGATGAACGCTGTATTGAGGGGATGGGCTCCTCCTCTGCGCCTGTCTGCTCTGTTGATCAGCAACATGCAGGACTCTCCTCGAGCGGGGTGTCAGCTCAGGAGGAGAGCCAGCA